AAAAAAAAAAAAAAAAAAAAAAAAGCTGCAGCAAGAAAAGAAAAAATTTATTGTGCATAAAATTTTTTAAATTTTGTGCATTAAACAATACTTGACAGTGAAAAATACAACCTACAGAATGGGAGAAAATATTTGTAAATCATGTTATCTGATAAGAGTCTACTAACCAGAATATATAAAGAACTCATAACTCAACAACAAAAAGACAAATAACCCAATTAAAAAATAAGCAAAGCATTTGAACAGACATTCCTCCAACAAGGATTTGAAAACATTCTAAACATCATTAGTCAACAGGAAAATGCAAATCAAAAACACAATAAGACACTTCACATTTACCAGGATAGCTATTATCAAAAAAAGAAAAAATAACAAGTGTTGGCAAGGATGTGGACAAACTGGAACTCTTATATATTGCTGGTGGGAATGTAAAATGGTACAGCTGTTATGGAAAACAGTTTGGTGGTTTCTTAAAAAGTTAAACATAAAATTACCATATGACTCAGCAATTCCACTCCTATGTATATACCCAAAAGAATTGAAAATAGATGTACATGAATGTTCATAGTAGCACTATTCACAACAGCAAAGATATCAAAACAGATTAATAAATAAAATGTGGTATATACACATAATGGAATATTATTCAGCCATAAAAAGGAATGAAGTACTGATACATGCTACATGAATGAACTTCAAATATATGTTAAGTGAAAGAAGCCAGGCACAAAAGACTACATATTTATGATTTCATTTATATAAAATGCCCAGAAATAGGCAAATCTATAGAGACAGAAAGTAAGTTAGTGGCTTCCTAAGGCTAAGAGCAATAGAGGGAACTGAGTACCAATAAGTACAGGGTCTTTTTCTGCGGTGATGATAATGTTCTGAAATTAATTGTGGTGATGGCTACACAACTTTATGAATATATAAAAAACCACTGAACCACTTTCAACCACTTTCAATGGGTAGATTCTATGGTGTGTAAACTACATCTCAATAAAGTTATTTTTAAAAGTTAATACCTGAGGTGCTGAGAAAACTGGACAGCTACATGTAAAAGAATGAAATTAGAACATTTTCTAACACCATATCCAAAAATAAACTCAAAATGGATTAAAGACCTAAATGTAAGACCAGAAACCATAAAACTCTTAGAGGAAAACACAGGCAGAACACTCTTTGACATAAATCGCAGCAATATTTTTTTGGATGTCTCCTAAAGCAAAGGAAATAAAAGTAAAAATAAACAAATGGGACCTAATTAAACTTAAAAGCTTTTGCATAGCAAAGGAAACCATCAACAAAACAAAAAGACAACCTACTGAATGGGAGAAAATATTTGCAAATGATATATGACCAATACACAGTTAATATCAAATATATATATATAAACAGCTCATACAACCCAACATCAAAAAAACAAACAACCTGATTAAAAAATGGGCAGAAGACCTGAAGAGACATTTTTCCAAAGAGGAAATGCAGATGGCCCACAGGTACATGAAAAGATCTCAACATTGCTAATCATCAGGGAAATGCAAGTCAAAACCCCAATGAGATATTACCTCACACCTGTCAGAATGGCCATCATCAAAAAGAACACAAATAACAAATGTTGGTGAGGATGTGGAGAAAATTAACTGGCGCAGCCACTGTGGAAAAGAGTACAGAGGTTTCTCTAAAAATAGACACTTCCCTGGTGGTCCAGTGGTAAAGAATCCGCCATACAATGCAGGGGACGCAGGTTCGATTCCTGGTCAGGGAACTAAGATCCTATATGCTGCGGGGCAACTAAGCCTGCATGCCACAACTACTGAGCCCGCACGCCTCAACTAGACCCCGTGTGCCGCAAACTACAGAGCCCACGCGCCCTGGAGCCTGCACGCCACAACTAGAGAGGAGTCCGCGCGCCACAATGAAAGATCCAGCGTGCCTCAATGAAGATCCCACGTGCCTCAACTAAGACCCAATGCAGCCAAAAATAAATAAAATAAAATAAATAATAATAATAATTAAAAAAACTAAGAATAGGGACTTCCCTGGTGGTCCAGTGGGTATGACTCTGAGCTCCCAATGCAGGGGGCCTGGATTCAATTCCTGGTCAGGGAACTAGATCCCACATGCTTGCCGCAACTAAGAGTTCGCATGCCACAACTAAACCCCGTGTGCCGCAACTAAGGCCCAGTGCAGCCTAAATAAATAAATAATAAATAAATATTTGCAAATGAAGCAACTGACAAAGGATTAATCTCCAAAATTTACAACCAGCTCATGCAGCTCAATATCAAAAAAACAAACAACCCAATCCAAAAATGGGCAGAAGGCCTAAATAGACATTTCTCCAAAGAAGATATACAGATTGCCTACAGACACATGAAAGGATGCTCAACATCATTAATCATTAGAGAAATGCAAATCAAAACTACAATGAGATATCATCTCATACCAGTCAGAATGGCCATGATCAAGAAACCTACAAACAATAAATGCTGGAGAGGGTGTGGAGAAAAGGGAACCCTCTTGCACTGTTGGTGGAAATGTAAATTGATACAGCCACTATGGAGAACAACATGGAGGTTCCTTAAAAAACTAAAAATAGAACTACCATATGACCCAGCAATCCCACTACTGGGCATATACCCGGAGAAAACCATAATTCAAAAAGAGTCATGTACCAAAATGTTCATTGCAGCTCTATTTACAATAGCCAGGACATGGAAGCAACCTAAGTGTCCATCGACAGGTGAATGGATAAAGAAGATGTGGCACACATACACAATAGAATATTACACAGCCATAAAAAGGAAGGAAACTGGGTTATTTGTAGTGAGGTGGATGGACCTAGAGACTGTCATACAGAGTGAAGTAAGTCAGAAAGAGAAAAACAAATACCTTATGCTAATACATATATATGGAATCTAAAAAAAAAAAAGTGGTCATGAAGAACCTAGGGGCAAGACGGGAATAAAGATGCAGACCTACTGGAGAATGGACTTGAGGATACGGGGAGGGGGAAGGGTAAGTTGGGACGAAGTAAGAAAGTGGCATGGACATATATACACTACTAAACGTAAAACAGATAGCTAGTGGGAAGCAGCTGCATAGCACAGGGAGATCAGCTCAGTGCTTTGTGACCACCTAGAGGGGTGGGATAGGGAGACGCAAGAGGGAAGAGATATGGGGACATATGTATGACTGACAATTTGTTATAAAGCAGAAACTAACACACCATTGTAAAGCAATTATACTCCAATAAAGATGTTAAAAAAAAAGAAACCAAAAGATAATAATAATAATAAATAAATATTTTTAAAAATATTAAAAAAAAAGAAAAACCTAAAAATAGAACTACCACATGACCCAGCAATTCCACTCCTGGGTATATACCTGAAAAACAAAAATGCTAATTCCAAAAGATACATACACCGCCATGTTCATAGCAGTATTATTTACAATTGCCAAAATATGGAATGAATGGATAGAGAAGATGTGGTGTATATACATACAAGAGAATACTACTCAGTCATAAAAAAGAATGAAACTTTGCCATTTACAACAACATGGATGAACTCAGAGGAGATTATGCTAAGTGAAATAAGTCAGACACAGAAAGACAAACACTGTATGCTATCACTTATATGTGAAATCTAAAAAATACAACAAACTAGTGAATATAATAAAAAAGAAACAGATTCATAGATATAGAGAACAAACGAGTGCTTACCAGTGGGGAGAGGGAAGCAGGGAGGGGCAATATAGGGGTAGGGGATTAGGAGGTACAAACTATTATGTATAAAATAAGCTATAAGATATATTGTACGACACAGGGAATATAGCCAATATTTTATAATAACTATAAGTGGAGTATAACCTTTAAAAACTGTGAATCACTAAATTATGCATCTGTAACTTATATAATATTGTACATCAACTATACTTCAATTTTCAAAAAGTTAACAGCTTATATTTACATTATGTTCTTATACGTATTATCTCACTGAAGACTTACAACAATCCCCAACGAGGAAGCTGAGGAAGGAGGAGGGTAAGTGACTAATTCAGATAACCTAGTCAGTGAGTTTGACTTGAGCCTAGATTTTATTTCTTCTTCTTCTTTTTTTAAAAAAAATTTATTTATTTGGCTGCATTGGGTCTTAGTTACAGCACACGGGATCTTCGCTGTGGCATGTGGGATGTTTCCTTGTGGCGCACGGGCTCCAGAGCACACGGGTTCAGTAGCTGTGGCAGCGGGCTCTCTAGCTGCAGCGTGCAGGCTCTAGAGCACGCAGACTTAGTTGCCTTGTGGCACGTGGGATCTTAGTTCCCTGACCAGGGATAGAATTCGCATCCCCTGCATTGGAAGGCAGATCCTTAACCGCTGGACCACCAGGGAAGTCCTGAGCCTAGACTTTCTGATGGAAAATATCAGTGCTCTTTGCACAACCAAGCTACCTTTATGCTGCCTGCACTTACCTTTAAAAAAAAAAAATTTTTTTTTTAATAAAAAAAGAGGAAGCTCTAAAATAGGTGAAGAATCTAACAAGCAAAACTGATACCTCACTCCTGGTGTTGCTGGCTATGAAACAGGATGCTAATGGTGTTTACATTAAAAACATGGAGAAAGTTTCTGAGTTACCATATTGTACTGCCTTGCAGCTAAACAAATCAGTGACAAAAACCTCCATTTTCTGTGAATGGCTCTGAACTTCTGTCTTAATTATCATCATTGTAAACATTCATCCAATCACTAAAAAAGTCACAGAATCCGTCAGTCAACTGCTTCATTCATATAAGGTGAAAAATAAAAAACCCAAGTTTGAGATCAGCCACCCACTACTCTTGAGCTACTTTGTGATTTTATCATAGGGCCCTATTGGCCTTATATGAGAACCTCTTGTTATGCTCTCCCCAGTACAGAAATACAAATTTCAGAAGTCATTCTTAACCATGTGGCAACTGTGGTAGTTTCTTAAGTCCTGTTTGTTCCAATACAGGTAACCGTGGAAGCATTCACACTCAAAATAAATGTCTATTACTTGCTGCTGACTGAAAGCCAAACATTCTTGTCTAGAATAACTCACCAGACTTAATATGGTCTCCAGAAGGGACAGACAGGCTCCCAGACGAAATGGGACTAACTGCTGCCAAGGAAAATGCTTCTGTTTATTTCGCAATATTAGGTAGGTAGGGAAGGATCCAAATTGTGAGGACTATTTTATCTCCTGAGACAAAGTCAAGTTTATTTTCACCTTGAAATTCTGTTAGGAGATAAGGAAAAACTTCTGCCATTTAAATATGGCAAAAGTAACCCAAAATACTGAAGCAGCTTTGTATATCAAAAAGCAATTTAACATTTGAGCTTAAAAATAGAAAAAGCATGCTGGGAGGATAGTCAGATTCCTAATTCATAAATAATGAGAAGAAATTTCAAGTCTTGAATCCTGTGAAGACAGGGCTCCAAATGTGAACTTTGGGAAATTACTTTATTATTTTATTTTATCATTAAGACTACCACTTTACCTTTTTTTTAACACCTCCCTCTTCTCTATGCGGTTGAACAGTTCTTGCTCTCTCTCCTTTTCTGTCATCTGTTCCAGACGGGCCCTGTCTTCCTCATCTCCCATGAGGTCTTCTCCATAGCCATCATGGAATTCCTCATCTTCTGAGGAAGAGTCTGAATCTGAACTGGAGGAGGAGCTGTTGCTGTCAGAATCTGACACTTCACCTGCAACAAAGGACCAAACACAAGATTAGGTGATGCTGCAGAAGACAGAGCCACAGGTGGCCCCACAGTGTTGATAATCATTACCCCTTGGCTCTTCTAGGTGAAGTGGAACATGGTCATCTCACCTCCCTTGGGAAAACCCTTGGTCTGCCTTTGGCAAATGCAAACACAGGTTACAGAAACTTAGGCTGGATTAAGAAACCAGCATGATCTTTTTAATTTGACTTTTGTATTTTGAAAAAATTACAGACCTACAGAAAAAAGTTGCAAGAATAATTCAACTCCCGTACATCTGTTACTTAGGTTCACCCATTGTTAACATCGCCAATTCACTTTCTGTCTACATACATAAAACAATTTACACATTTTTATCATTTATTTTGCTGAACTGAGAGTAAGCTGCAGAGATTGTGACCTTTCACTCCTAAATACTTCTTGTAAAAATGACAGTGTCTTATATAACCAAGTATACAATGATCAAACTCAGGAAATTTAACATTTAAGAAATAGCATTATCTGACATATAGTCCATATTCAATTTTCATAATAAGTATACGGAGATGCTTTGAGACTGTGTAAACATCTTGCTCCTCAACAAACTATCATCCAGTGGTTTCAACACTCGTTGATACTACGATGGTTGAAAATGGTGATTGTCTAACTATACTTTCTTCTACATTTATTAATTGGCATTAAAAAAATCAATGTTTTAATAAGTCATTAAATTGATTAGTGAATTCCTAATGATACTGGATCTTGGTAGGACAAAGGGTGATGGAAAAAAACATTATATATTGTAACTGAGTATTTATTAAGTTAAACTAGCAATTTTGTGCTTGACTCAATTTGAGCTAACATTCACAGGCATGTGCTTAAAAAGCAGGTTAGGCCAATTCTGTACAAGCCAGTTTGTATATAAACATTATTACTCAAAACAAATATAAAGTTTACCATTTTTGTCCTGGAACAAGTTCACTTTCAAACTAGTGTTAGCAAAAATTCTCATTTCAAAACAACTGTTTTTACTGAGTTTTGTATCTGGTTCAAGGATTTTCCCCCTATGAATAACCAAGAAAAAGGAAAGAGAAGGCACTAAAGTTAAGGTAAACGGAGACTCTAACGCAGGGAATCCTCATGGGTTTCCTGGATGGGTTTCAAGGGCTTCACTAATGCTTTGGAATGCATGTATTTTTCTTGCTTCATTCAGATTCTAAACAGACCATGACCAATGAAAAGATTAGAGACCCCTGCAATAAAGGCAGAGGCCATGCTGTAATTGTAATGCAGGCACCTTTTCCCTCCATTTCTGACTGCAGCTTCTACTAAATAAGAGTTCACTCTCAAGTCTGCACCACTTGACTCACCTTCCTCAGGGGCTGAGCTCTCAGCTGAACTGTCTTTGTCCGAACTGCCTGAGGAAGCAGTTTTATTGGCCTGTTTCTTCATGGTTCCTTTCTTCTCTATTTTTCTGGCTTTTCCTTTCTTCTTATTTTTATTGCTCCCAAAAGTCCACTACAAGGAAAAAAGAAAAAGTAAAATTGAACCAGGGATTTTATTGAGAAAAGCTGTAAGTTTCAAGAATTAAGAGTCTCTGACATTCATCAAAATGATTCCAAGTCTCTACTGCTTTGGATCTGAAACAAATACACTTTATAGGATGAAAGATATTGATTCTTGAAACCTTTGATAAAACTTCATAACCTCTGGTTTGTAATTTCTTAATGTCAGTAGATAATTGATATAATAAATATAAAATTTAATTAGTATACTTTTTATCAATAGAAAACCAAATATATCAACTTAATGGCAAGTCAACTGAGTTAACTAAAACTCAGTTGGTACAGGAAACAGCTTCTAATGTTTCCTGTGGCAGAGAGGTCAGCAATTGCTAGAGATTGGTATGTCTGGGTTTCAGTACACGGTGCATGGCTGAGTTCTGGAGTGGGTCCCAGGAAAGCAGGGAATAAAGCTTTTTAACAAGAGAAAACTTCAGAAAACACAGGGAGAAAATGATGAAGGCCACTCTTTGGCATGGATGGTAGTATCACTGGTACCAACTCCAAGGAGTCAGAAAGTATAATAGATCATTAAAAAAAATATATATATATATATATATATTTTTTTAAATCTGCATATATTACACTACAACATAATGTTTACAATGGATCTTCAATAGGAGATCCCATACATCTAAATATAAGGAACCTGCAACTTGTATTATCAAACTAACAGGCAAGCAATACACAGTTGATCACTCCAAGGCCAAAAAAATCATCTTCATCAAGCACTTTAAGTCTGAAAGACCATAAAATCATTTTTTAAATTCACAGAGACTATTTAGTTACATTAAACCACACCTCCTTTGATATTTTAACTTGTCAATTTAGGAGAATGATTTTAGGTGAAAAATACTTTACTTAGAAACTTTATTTTATGTACTCTAAAAATAATATTCATAACCAGCAAGGGCCTACTGTATAGCACAGGGAACTATACTCAATAATAACCTATAATGGAAAAGAATCTAAAAAAGAATATATATATAAAATAAATTAAAGTAAAATTCAAGACTTCCCTGGTGGCGCAGTGGTTAAGAATCTGCCTGCCAATGCAGGGTACATGGGTTTCAGCCCTGGTCCGGGAAGATTCCCACAGGCTGCGGAGCAACTAGGCTCATGCACCACAACTACTGAGCCTGTGTTCTAGAGCCCACGAGACGCAACTACTAAGCCCACGTGCCACAACTACTAAGCCCACGTGCCACAACTACTGAAGCCCGCATGCCTAGAGCCCGTGCTCCGCAACAAAGAGAAGCCACCTCTTGCTGCAACTAGAGAAAGCCCGCGCAGCAACGAAGACCCAATGCAGCCATAAATGAATAAATAAATTTATTTTAAAAAATAAAAAATTAAATTAAATTAAAAATTAAAAAAAGTATATATAAAAACACTGAATCACTCTGCTGTACTCCTGAAACTAACACAACATTGTAAATCAACTATATTTCAATGAATATTAAAAAAAACCCAGAAATTGTAAAACAAACTGAGACAATACTAAATAAACAAACCAACCAACCAAGGAGGGGGAGAATAAAAAAATCAAAATAATATTCATCTTTCCATCATCACAGATTGAATTATAAATCTGGTATTAACATAAAAATTCTACATCTAATATTTAACAAAAGCACCAAGTCTTTGCTCCTTCTATAATGTGATCATATTATAATGTGATCATAAATCTACCTCCTACCTCACAATAGTCAAGATCAGAAGTAAATTTACTTTGGAGTTTTTTTGGGGTGTGGGGTGGAGGGATAGTTCTGATGAGGTTTCCACCTTAGAAATGTTCCAGATGAGCTATTTTTAAGAACTACAGTCTGTTAATTTACCTTGATAAAATATTGTGAAAGGGCACTATTTTAATCTTCTGATTTTTAATTTTAATTTACTCTTAGTTATTTTAATTGCAACTTTGTTTTTGTACTCAGGAGCTAGGAAGAAGGGACAAGTGAAAATAAAACAGCTCCATGTTCTAGAATGATATATTAAGTGAATAAATGATATATTAATATACCACTTATGTATTAAGTGATATACATTAACAGCGACTTCTCTTTATAAGTGAATTTACTTCTCAAACTTTTAACAATTCAACACTTAGACCACTATTTAGAAAGAAATCCTAATGCTTCTCTTCTAAAAGCTATTTTTCAACCATTTGAAATCTTAATCATTCAAGGAAGATACTTTTTAGGTCAGTTTGAAAGAATCCAAAAGAGGCCAAAGTGTTCAGTTTCATAGTTAACTGAGCTAAAATATATCAACTTCCTATGCTGAGAATACAGATATTATTAGAGGCAATAATGTATAAAACATCTTTTGCACTGGCTTTGTTTACAGGAAATAGCACAACTATGCACATAGTAGTCAATATTTATTGGCTGGTTATGAAAATGAGCATGACCCATCTCTTCTAAACAGGGTATCTTTTTGTACTTCTTTGTACAGAAATCCCTTCTTTGTACAAAGAAGTCCCTTTGTACTTCTACCCAATGGGAATATGAAAAGGCTGAGCGCATAAAGGGTGAGCTACCAGGGTCACATGTGTGTTAGAGTGGATAGATCTATTTTCACCTACAGATTTGGATTTCTCACCTGCAACAGAGTCACATTCTGAACTTCCAGGGTGGGGGGAAAAGGGGGATTGTGTATGAGAGTAAAAAAAGGCTTAAATGTGAAGTCACACAGGTGAATCCAATTCAGGAGGTGCTAGAAAGCTATCTGGTTTCCTTATCCTTCCACTGTCTATCTGCTGCAATCTGCCATTGCCTAAGCTTAGCAACTGTCATCTATAGCCTATGATGCTCATCCCCTGGAGGGGAGAGATAAAAGATAAGAGTTAAAATAGAAGAAATAAAATGTTTCAATTTAACCAGGGCTTGCCTGGCTGAACCTGAGTGTGGGAAGGGAACCTTGGTCTTTTTCCTTCCACCACAATTTTCAAAAGAAATGACAGAAGTGCCTCATCTCCCATGAGGCTAACTCAATAGAGTCTGTCATGCCAATGGCAAACAACCAAACTCACTATATATGACAGGGTTTTAGGGAAATAAAATAATCACTTAAAATATGGGGACCAGTCACATTACTGCTATTTAATATAGAGAAAGAGACTCAAATGGGTACTGATATTTTCCCAAAAGATTTTTTTCCTGCAGAATAGATCGCATTTGTAATATTTTACATTTACTCCTTTAAACCAGAAACTCCTGAGTGTTTTTTTGGTCTGAGCACATATTTTAAATATTTGCCCAGTACCTCTTCTCTCAAGATCACAGAATCTTATAAACCATAAAGGAGATGGTCAAGACTTGTGGTAGGCAAAACTGACACAGAAATATCTTAACCCAGCCATGAGCCCAGAGATTGCTCACCTATTCCTGCAAAAGCCTTATTCTGTTGACTCCAAGACAGAAGGAAAACTAATTCTTTCATTGCCAGAGTGTGGTAGTAAATGGAGTCTAAAGAGTACAGTACAGGATTAAAGAGATGCTCTCAGGCTTTCCCCAGCCATCAGAGAGTAGAAGAAATGACCTGGCTTTTCTTAATTTGTTTTGGGAACTATGGCTTCACTGAAAGGCAAGCTCTGTTGTGACCTTAAAAGTGCTCTAAAATGCACCACACAGAAGGCAAGAATAAGAAAATGAGTGCCTGCTGATCTGCATCTGAGTACAGAGGCCAGAGCATCCCCCAAGGAGAGCTGCTTAAAAACAATCTGGGAAAGGGAAAGGGTCCACTGTCAGTCAGGACTCTAATACACACTGACATCCTGCTTTTTTCCCAAGCATTCTACATGCATGCAGGCTCACACAAAACACCAGGAAAGTATTACATATAATGCAGTGATGAAAACCTAAAACAGTGACTAGAAGGAAGATGTCTTAACTAATAAATTAAAAGAGATTAGCACTTTGACTCTCACTACTGTAACTGATACTCTAATGGACGGCAATTATCTAATGATACAAGGAGGGTTAGAAAGTACAACCCTGTGCCAGACTGAGAGTGTAGGGGTTGTTATAAGCAGGTCCCTACTCTGGGAAGCAGCTGACCTTCCTGGCATTCAGCTGAAAGACAGGAAGGAACATGGGGTGGGGAGTGGTTGCCTTGGACGTGGGTGCCATTGACATGCTGAGTACTTTTATCCTGGAGGCAGAAAAGCAAAGAAACTTGAACATTTCAGAGAGGTTATCTCTAATGGACAAGGAAGATCATATTCTAGGTCTCAGGACCCAGAGTAGAAACCATTGCAGCCCAGTTACTCCTGAAACGAATTTACAGTGAAATGAAATACTTTGAGGTAAGTAGGGTTCAAGAAGAACAGCTGGGCTAGTGATAAACTATGGGACTAGAGGTTAAAAGAACTGGAATAAAGGCCCAAGCCCTCAACCTGAGACTGTTTCCTTATCTGTAAAGTAGGAATAATAATACCACCTTGACCACCTAGCCGGGTAGTGTGAGACTCAAAGGAGACAGAATAAAAGACGCTAAGAGCACATCAGAAACCATGAAGTTCTATATAAATGGAGGGTACTATTTTATGATGGAAAAAGGAAACCAGAACTTCTGGGAGCCTGTTTTCTTATCTGAAATAAGGGAATCTAAATGATCTCTATGACCCCTTGGAGTTTTAAAGTTGTAGGATTCTATATGAACTGAGTGTTACACTAAATTGAAGTGTTTGTCAAAAGGATTTGGTAGTCATTATTCTAGATCTTAACAGTTACCAACAAAGAGGTGTGCTGAGAGGGCATGGTTCCTGATTTAGGTATTTTTTCCCTGTGAAGATACTGAAGATAGAAGACGGTCAGTAAAGTTGAAGAGTATAGGCAAATGTCAGCCTAAGGAACAATGAGGAATAGCTAAATTTTCTTTTCCCTTAAAAGAAATGAGTTATTTGTAATTAATCAAACAAAGTACAAAGGGCACTACTGTATCTTATAATCA